ATATATATTTATTTAATTTTAATTAATTAATTAATTAAATTTTTATTTTTTAATAATTTAATAATAAACAATACATTTATTATACTTCAATATGTTGTAAGTTAGAAAATCCGAATAAATGATACAGCCATACAGGTACTGTGAAGTGGCTAGTAATGAACTTGGCGACAAAGTCCTTAACCCGCGCTGTCTCTGACTTCCATCTCCCTTTCAAAGCATAAAAAAAAGGGAAAAAACATGTGGACTGTGGACATGATTGAAAATGAGAATGATGCAATTTAAAGTGAGCTGGATTTTTTTGAAGTGGACTGCTGCGGGGGTGGGGTTTTAGCCCTTTAGATTCAGAAGAAACATGTTGATAAAATCCACAAACAATAATATACCTACAGCTTGAAATCTTTTTATAAAAAAAATTTATTTATTAATATATATCTAACAATATTAATTTTATTGTAATTAACAAATTGATTAAGTTTATTAGAGCAACTTGAAAATTGATAATATAATTTATATAAATAAAATTTTTAATTTAATGATTAATTTTTTAAAATATTAATTAAAAATAAATTTTTAGATAACTTTTTTTAAAAATTTTAAAAGAACAAATTACAAAATATTTTTTTCATATATTTATAATATTACATGATATTATTGTCAGCCTTGTAGTACAACCGGAGATAGGTAAAGAGGACCTGAGGGGCAAATGCCTCCTAATTTTTAATTTTAGATGTTTAAATTTAATTATTTATTTTTTTAAGATGCCATTTAATATATTTATTTTTATTTTATTTTTATTTTAAAAAATAATTCAATATTATATTAAATAAGAAGGCTTATTTACTAGTAATTAATTAAGGATAAATATAAAATTTTATCAATTAATTATTACATCTATATTTGGTTGGACAAAAAAAAAACTAAATCTACTAAAGTTAAACAAAAGAGAAAAGATTATTTCCTTAATTTTATGTAAATTAACTTGATGATTTTAAATAGAAAGTACTCTTAAAATAATTGTCATTTTTTAACTTTTAACTAAGGATTTGGGGAAAATGTATTTACATATATTACTCTTGGAAAAAAATTAAAGGATAAAGAATGATTTTTTGTGATAAGATAATTTATTATAGTAAATGGATAATGATAAAATAAAAATAGGAAAAAAATATTTATCTATATTAAAAAATGATAATTAATTTAAAACAAATTTAAAATAGGAAACAATAATTATTTTGAAATAAAGGAACTAAATGTCAATTGAAATTTTTTTTTATCTAAGTGAAAATAATCACAAAAACTATATATAAAAATGAGAATCTGAAAAATCAAGACATTTTGATGCTTAGAATGTCCATCACAATCATCAATTGCGTGAGTCTCATAGATAAGGTCCATTCACGAATGGTTGTAATAGTCGTTCTAAACGTTAAAATGTCCTAATTTTTATATTTTCGTATAAAAAGAAAAAAAAATTATTATCTATATATTATATAAATCATTTGGTGGAATTAATTTAAAATTTAAATTAGGACAACAAAGTCAAACTCAAAGTAGTAATTAAATGGAAAATTGTTTATTAATTAGGTAATCTCGGTCAATACGTCACGTAAACCACAATGGAAAGCCGTAAAAGGCTTTGGCTTCTTTTACGCAAATTGCATTGCTAATAATTACAATTTGTAAGGTAGAAGAGTATATTTATTATATTTTTTTATTATTAATTTATATTAAAAAATAAAAATTAATTTTAATTTTATTAATTTTTAATTAAAATAATTCATATGAAATTAGTATGAAAATAAAATTTATTTTCATAATTTTTTATATAAATTAAAGATAAAAAAGTGTACGTATAATTAATTATAAATATTTATAGCTCTTTTAAAAAAAATAGTTAATTAGAATGTTTAAAAAAATGTCGGGTTATTAGATAAAAATTATTAATTATCAACTAACATGTATAACAATTAACTATTTTTAATAGTTAAATCAAAGAGAACTGCAATAATCTATATTACAAGATAAAATTTCAATTTTCTTTTTTAGTCTTTCTTTTTCTTTTTCTTTTTGAACAGGGGAAAGGGGGCTGCATACTGCAACTTTAAACTCTAGTTGAAACCATGAGTTTAAGTGCACTCGACCAAAACAATCGAAATTGCGGGTGCTTTTTTTAGTCTTTCTTACTTTAATAATTCTAACAATGTTTAATAATAATAATAATAATAAACTCACAACAACCACATAACAACAAATAAATAAATGTATTTTGATTCACATGTATTACTTACTTAAAAAGTATCAAAAAAAATAAATAAATTATACCATATGTTGTAAATTTTTATTGTTGGAAAAACATTATCAATAAATTATTTTCCATTTAAGAATTTTGACATGCTGTCAATAGATCAACTAAGGATAATCTCAAACCAAGCTTGCACTACAAGAAAATCAACATTTTATAACGGTAAAATTGATAATAAAAAATCAAATTTTAGACACAAATTTAATTTATAATTAAAAATATAAATTTTTATAATTAATTTTTCATCATAAAATGTCTATTTTCTTATAATATTGTATGAAAAAAACCAGGGATCTTAATTACCTGTCTACACCAGATGTTTGGACTCAACATATATTGTGAGTGTGAACACAGAGCTGGAAAGAATATTTCACTTTCATGGTAACCAGAGCAGGCCCTGGACTGTATAAGAAAGCTAATCCAAATCCAAATCTAAATCCAAATTATACATTATTCTTTTATTTTATTTTATTTTTGTCAATTTTCTTTAATTATGTTGAGCCTGTTTTTACTGTTTTACATTGTTAAATGAATCATATCTGTACAGTGCTCTATATATATATATATATATCAACAAAGACAGCAATATTAATTTAGCAACAGTACCTGATCCGTTGGACTGTAGTAGCTTTTATCACCTTATCAATGTGCAGTTTCCTTCGCCTTCCCCTTGAGGTTTGGTTCAATACCTCATGATGCTTTGTTTTAAAAAAAAAAAATAGCAACGAAAACAGATGATGATGATGGGGTCAACTCAGCCAACCAAACTACTGCATGAAATCTGTTACTTCTAATAAACATTTTGTTTATTAATGGAAATAGATGCGTGACAATTTTTAAGACTCACTTCGTCTTCAGTTGCAAAGCATAATGAATCTTGTGGTCCAATTTTCCTTTCTTTAAAAAAAAAATTAAATAAAGATTCTTGTAGACTTTTTTTTTTTTTTTTTTGAGAGTGGGAGAATAAAAAGCGAGGACGGCACATTTGAGCTGCGAGCTTTTGTATTTTATTTTTAAAATGGTTAGTAATAATATATTTATGATATTATGTAAAATTTAGAGTTATAATTATTATTTTTGTTTCGATTTAATTATTATATTTTTTTTATTTATAATTATTAAAAATTTTATTTATTATAATAATTAAGATTTATATTTATATTTTTATCTTTATTTATTATTAAACTAAAAAATTTTAATGCATTTCTATCTCTTTAATATAAAGGTAAATTAAAGCATTAACATTTAATATTTTATTAAAATAAAAAGTAAAATAATAAACCACTTGTATTTAAAATGTAAGATAACTAATTAAAAGTTTGGCTAAAAAGGAAATGAAATGATTCCATTCATTTTTATCCCTTATGTTCGTTTAGATAAATAAATAAATTTAAAAAAATAAAACAAAAGTGTTCCTTCCATTCACCCCCCTTTTTCTTTTAATTATTTTAAAAATAGAGATTTTTTTTTCTCCCATCCTTCTTCCTTCTCAATTTTTTTCAATTCAAATATATTATAAATTAGATTAGAAGGAAATATAATATTTCATTAAATAAATAAATATATAATATCATAAACATATCTTTAAACAAAAAGTAAATTTACAATTATATAATATCACTAAAAGGTTCTTTTGATTTAGTGACTACTTATGTAGTTGTTAAGAGCATTCTTATCTTTATAGAGATGTAAATATATATTTTTTTTTAACAAAGATAATAGTTTGGAAATTAGTATGAGTTAGACGTTATAAACTGGGATTCTCAGAATGGTGAACATTTCACTCCCTTAAATGAGACACGTGACTATTAGACCACAAGTTGGTGTAGTTCACAGCGATAGCAGAACTCAAAACCCTAACCTCTGTTTCACTCAAACCTTAAGATTTGGACGAATCATTGAGCCTCAAGCCCGATTCGCTATAGAGATGTAAAATTTGAATTCTCCTCTTATGTTCAAAATAATCATACAATATTACTTGTGGGCCCATAAATAAGAATAAACTTATAATTAGAAAATGTTATTAAATAAATACATATATAATATAATAAATTGATCTTAAATAAAAAAAATTTAATCATATAATAATAATAATAAATTAAGAATACCACTCGACAAATAATATAAAATTTTTTATTATAAAAATACAGTTCAGTGAATTATGTGGCAACCACCCAATTCGTAGCACAAGATTTGCTGCGCATATTAATTTCCTAAAAAGAAATGTGTGAACTTAAATATAATATAAGATAAATCACATAATTACGTTTTTTTTTTTTTGTTTTTGGTATTTATCGTTAAAATGTCTCTAATTGAATTTTCATGCAACTCAAAATTAATTTTTTTAGATAATTTTAAAAATACATGTTATATGTCAACGACTTAAATAGTTCAATGATTATTTTTTTTCGTTGAAAATAAGAGTTCTTGAGTTTAAATCGCATGGTATACGGGTGAGATGAGATGAGATAAGGAATAGAAGATAGTTGTTTCACCTTATGTAATTAAGATAATAAAAAAAAATACACCTTATATTCACATAATACATTTAAAAAAATTAATTTTATTAAATATTAACATAGCAATAAATTTAAAAAGACATTTACTTAGCAATAAATTTAACTTAAAAATTAATCCATATGATTACTAATTGATTTTGAGATGAGGCTATACTTCACTTACTTTTCTAACAATACCCTTTTCTAGCTTGATACATGATGGGAAACTCTGCCAATTCTGGGATTGTTTGTTACATCACCTTAGATTCTTGAATTTTTTTTTTTTTTTCAAAAAAGGAAGTATCACATAAAGAAAATCTATTTCATTAGATTAAAACGTGAGAAAGAATCCAACATAAGAAAACTTTCATTGGATTCTCAAAAATGTAATTGATGAAGTGCACACTTTAACATGCAGAGCCCCAGTCTAATGATATATTTTTTTTTTTTCTGACAATGATCTGTACAAGATTATTGCGCTCTTGAAAAGACGGCTTTGTTGAGATCGTTACAATATTGTTCCTTTGACTCCAATTTTGTTAATAACCTAAACAAGAAGATTCACAAAAGAAATACAACTTTGAAATGCTGCCACATTAAAGCCCTCAAAGGGAAAGTGTACAAGATACCTTGATTACAAATGCTTTGCACGTAACAAAAGCAGGGTACCATTTCATGGGAAGTACCAAACTTGAATTGCACCTTTTAACACTAAACCAAATATATACAAATAGCATTAAAAATGAGAATCCAATTGCCACCATCAATGAAAACAATAAATTCATTCTATATCTGAGTTGGTTTATTAACATCACTGGCTTTGGCAAAGCCATGAGAGATTCATGTATGCAATGTTTACAACAGCAGGTGCTGGACTTCATCAATGTTAATGAAAAGAACATATCCCATGAAGATCTTTCAAGTCCTTGGTATATTATCTATATATTGAAAAACTTCTGAGACAATTTGAGAAATCCAGTTTACCGCAGTTCCACAAAAGAGTTCCCAAAACCAGAGATCCAATGCAAGGATTGAAGAGAAGATGAGTAATGCCAAAGTCTGGTAGCGGTTTAGTGGCCAGCCTGAAACTTCAGCCATCGTCTTCAGAAATGGATGGGAACTGCTCTCAAAATGTCGGTTTCTTATTGACCATGCTGTTATCCAATGCACGCAGGAGGGGATCAGGTCAAACTCTTCTCTCAACCTTCTCCCGAAGTCTGGCATGTGGCCACCACCGTACAGTATAGCAATCTTATTGTGGCCCTCATCGATTGCTCTTCTAAGTACTGCTGTTGCAGCTTTGTTCCTCTCACCAATGATTACAGATTTCTCTTCAATGTCAGCTTTCACTTCCGTGAACCTACATAAATTAACCCATGTATATATCAGTTCTGTATCAACAAATTTAATTTAATATATAAATTAAGAGCACATGTCGGTATTAAACATCTTTCCCCTCAGTTCTGCTACTGCGACAGGCATAAAGAAACACCAATTGATGCTCCAATTTAAACAGGCAGCCCCAACAAAAACTGGTGCTGGTAAAATCAAATGAAATGAAGCTCAACCCAGGAAGGTTCTGATGAAATTTAAAAACTGGTGAATCTGAATGTTATGCAACATATATCCTACAGGAAGCAATTTGGTATTTACCTAACAGAAACTTACCAACTTAAAGAGGAATGAGCTTCTCATGATTTGAGTAGCCTTTCAAGCTAATTAGTAGTTAATTCTTGTATTGTGTTAAGAAGGAGAACTTAAGAGTTGACAAAAAAAGGTCATGTAGAAAGGGAGGCTGAGAAGACTTCTAATCTAAGATACTTGACAAAAAGCAGATGGATTTGAATAGGTGGATAAACAAAAAGTAACCCCCTGCAGCTAGTTTTACCTTAAGCTATGCAGCAGTATGTATTTATATTTCAATATTATATTGGAAAAAGCCTCCAAACAACTGTGCCAGTCCAAGTTAGGTTTTATCATGCGCAACCAACAAACACAAAAATGTCAAACCATAACCCAAAATAATAAAAGTATAATGGAGACTAAGGGACATTAGTTACCATCCCTTGAAGCAATAACACTTACTCAGACGTGAGTCGCTTTGCTAGGTAAACCTTCATGGCGGTACCAAAGTCAAGCCTAGACAAAGCTTCTAGCTCTGGAAATTCTGATGCTTGACCTCCCACATCTGCACAGACACCTCCAATAATGAGAAGACCCACAAGTGGCATGGGAAGTACACGTGAAGCCCAGAGAAGCTTGGATCTCCAAGGATCAAGGTCATCTCGAATGGAAGCAGACTGCACCATAGCTTTTGTTGACCTAAGGGTCATATCCCTTGCTAATGTGAAGAAATTTTCACCCTTTTCAAGCTGAAAGTTGTGAAAGAAATGTAAGACACAGCACCTTTTATTGACAGATGCAGAACAGATCTCTAATTTTCTATATTATGTAACTTAGAAAAGTTCCAGATTTTCAGTAAAGATACCATTAATAGATGAAATCACATAACTATTTAAAGGCTAGAAAAAATAGAAATTTATCTAACTAAAAGAATATTTGACAATTCTACAAAAAATGCAACACTTTTTGACCATTCAGAGTTGTTAATTTGTTATCAATAACCAATCATACACTAGACCATATGGTGTTTACACTCTGGAGATGTTCCATCGACAGGTTCGTTGGGCATGGGAACAACTAGACCATATGTTTTTAGCACTTCATTGATATGAAACATCTCCATATTCTCTCTTGACAACGCCCATAATCTACAACTCAAGCAAAGTGCTGATAAAAAAAAAATTTACTCAAGGGAAGTCAGGGTTCTAACCTGAAGTAACTTGAAGGTCTCAAAGTCAAGATCTGCATGGTACCAATTTTCATCCTGGTAATTAAGACAATCTAATTGGAAATCAAGCATTAGTACACGAGCCATCTGGCGCTGAATGAAACCTAAAATGTTGAAACCTCGTGAACGTGAACGCGACACTTTGAGCCTTTTTGTCATGGTAGTGTTTCCTCTATCTTCTAAACTTTCCCTGCTAGTGACCATCTCATATAGGATACAATCATAAGACTCAAGTTCCTTCTGGAGGGTTTCAAAGTACCTGCAGACAGAATTCTTTACCATTGAAACTGATTTAAATAGACTAGAAAGAAACAAAAAAGAAAAGGGAAAAAGTTACTAGCAATTGGACTTAAAAGCCGTACTACTTGAAAGTGAAATGTCATAAAAGGATCAACGGTGAAACCAAGTTATTACCTTTATGGGAATATCTAAGATAATGATAAAAAGGAACCGCCAACAAATACTTTAAAAAAAAAAAAAAGGAGAAGAAGAGAAAAAAACCAACTCCAAGACTAAATCTACCATGTGCTGTTATAGCACAAAAAATTCCCCATCCCGCAATGTTAGATAAGGATGCCCTTCACAAGATTTGACTTATTTTTTGGCCCAGAGTTATCTCTATGTTGTAATGTGACTCATTAGGTGATTACAAAGATTTTGGCTGCAAGATTGCAAGAATCATTCTATTTGTTGATTAGCATTATTCAGGAGCTGGGGATCAATAATGCCTAATATTCTGGTTTGCCATGATTTAGTCAGAAATCACTGAAGGAAGGAAGAATAAGCCAGCTAGATGCTTAAAGAAGAAAATTTGAGGAAGGCTTAGGAATTATGACTCTGTCATTGGAGTTCTTTTGTTAAATTTGTTGAAGGAGTTTGGATTTCCATCTCAATTTATTCAGTAGATAAACATGTTTTCATGGAAAGCATGTGGAGTTACTGAAAATGTATTTCTTGACTCTAGGATTTTAGTTGTGATTGGTATTATAATCTCCAGGTGTGCCAAGGAGTAGTTGTAGATTTGGGTTTAATGCAAACTTGCCAGTTGCCATTCTTTAAAGAAAAACTGAAATCAATCTTTATCAACATGTTAGATGAAGAACAGCTAACACTAAACAAACAAACATAAACACAAAACTTAAAAACCAGCTCTGCAAGCTGAATGAAAATAGATAGTCTTGCCCTTCGGCTCCACATTTCTGTATTATTATATATCATAAAGAAGATATGTGGGTCCACATATCTTTTCTAGTCCAAATGATGGAGAACATGTTTGAGAATCTATATTTTTGAAACTCTTCATTAGCCTCATGCATCTATATAATCGGCCTTATCAAGCTTCGGTATAGAGCATTCACTTAGAGCAATACAGAAGTAGGATCAAAACCTTATGGTTGAAAGTTAGCTTCTACACAATTATCACTATCCAAAAAACTATGTACGCATTACCCAATGATTCTTCACCCATGCCTAGTGTCCTTTTTGATCTTCAACACCCCTTCCTTCACTTTCAATATTCAACCACCTATCTCACTTCTTGGTTTAAAATATTACAACATCACATCTTTCTGTCCATCTTTATAGCAATTTTTCTGTCCTATAGATATTCCAACTTCAATTTTCACTAACTTAATTAGTATGATTCAACACTTTTTATCTGAAATTTAAACTTTAAGTATGATATTCATAGCTTAATTGAATTTATCATTCAGAATAGGACATATCCCAATATGACATTCTTTTAAATAACTTCAACATAATCCGTAGCCAAAGTTTCTTGGACTAAAGAAATTAGCACAACTGTTAATGCTGAAAACCGCCAATCCCGAATCAGACGTACATTTTAGATGGAATCTAAAACTACGAATTCCCCGGGGCTTAGAGATATAGCCAAACACCAGATAACAAAAGAACACTTTCTTATTGGGTAATGAAGCCAAAGAAAATAGATACTAATACCAGCAATACCAACGCTCGCTAAAAAAAGTCAGTAGAAATGACTCGAAAAGCACATCAGAAACAATAAAATGTACTAATCATAGCTAGCGAAATTGTTGTCGGCAAGAAATCATACTCTTTATCAGCGATGTGGATTGTAGAAACCAAATCAACCTAAGAAGAAAAAGGCAAAATTCAAAAATAAGAATCAAACAAAAGGAAAAAAAAAAAAAAAACATATCATTTTCATAGAAAGCACTCAGAATCTAGCTGCTTTTACCTGAAAAAATGGATTTAGGAGTGACCAAGGGAACCTCTTCCTGTAACTAACAACAGCAGTCTGCAACTCGCCGCCGCCGTTGCCGCCGTTGCCGCCTCCACCGCTTCCTTTTTTGAATCTCATGAAGTCGGTGATGGAATTGTTCTCCATAAACTTCTCCGCGGAGACATCTTCGACCGAGAGATTGGAAGAAGAAGCGGAGACCTTGAAAGGTGAATTAGAGAGCCGTGAAGAAGCAGACTTTGGAAGCAAAAAGTGAGACTCGAAAGGTTTGAAAGTGGCCGGCCGGAGAGAAGTAGAGATGGAAAGTGAATCGGCGTTTGAATTCGGAGAGAAGGAAGATGTGGAAGAGAGAATCGAGAGTGAGGTTGCCACCATTCTTGCTCCACAGAGAGAGTGGGAAGAGGATTGGGCTTTTATTTGTAACCAGAATTTTCCCCCTTTTCTGTATTAGTCTCAATTCCCCTTTCCGTTAAACTAACTGATTTTTGCCTTTTTTTTTTTTTTTTTTGGGGAAAACTCCAAATAAACTGCTTAACTTCTTTAACATTGTCAAATAAGGTTTTTGTAGGATTTTTTTTAGTGACAAATAAGCACCTCAATTTCTTCTACTACAAAAATTGGCCCATATTGGATGGGAAAAAACCATAACGGTGTGCTTGGTTTTCCATATTTCTTAAGAAGTATTGTAGTTGAGTATAATTAAATATAACCGATTATAAAGAAAAAAAAGTTACAAATTTCTCAAGACAACATTCTTTTTGAGTTTTTTTTGCTTAGAAATGGATTTTGAGCAACACAACCAACTATAATGCAATAGAGTTGGCTATTTTTCATTTTAATCAATTATACTTGGTTATAAGTTGTTTTAACAAACTATAATCCTATAACCTATCTTTATTTTTGTGTAGAATTTTGAACACAAGCCAACAATTTTGATGTTGGCTTCCCAAGTTTCACTTTCCTAGGAGAGTTATAAACCAAACTTAAAAGTCACATGGCATAGATCATAAATTTATTTACTTTTATGTTGACATAAACTATAGATAATTATACAGTAAAATATTATGATTGAATTTTTTTTATTATAACTCTAATGGATTCTTACAATACTCTGTAACAATAATTATAACTAACTTTTTTTTACTGGATGCTAGGATTACTAAGTATCCATTTATTTTATGTCAAGTAGATATTGTGTCATTTTAAGATAATATTATTAGTATATCAACTCAATGAATCTAGTTTATAAGTTGTTAATTCTTTATTAGTTTGAGATATTTATGAAACAACATTTTTTTTTTTCACAAAGGTTTTGACATTTATTCTTTGAAAATTATTTTCTTGGAAACCTTTTCATTTTTTGGATGATTTTTTCAACTTAGGGAAATTCGGGGTTTATTTGCCACAAAAACTTGAAGGACTCAATTGTCCATAATAAATAAGTTAAGGGGCTTTGCAAGAGATTAATCTTTATCATCTCGCCTTGCTTTCAGTGATAATTTAGTAAGTTCTTAGCTTACACGCAAATAATTTATTCATCTTTTTTATCAGACAAATGCGTTGTTTTCTTCCCCCAAAAATGAAAAATTGGTTGCTTCCAAATAATAAATACTGATGATTTTATCAATTAACTGAAAATATCTCACAACAGACAAAGAAAAAAAAAATTCCCTCGCACAACATTATAAATGGAGAAAAAAATTTGTAGAACAATTTATTCAAGATATAACCAGAGTTTGATGGATCCAGTGAACCTTGACTTTCCCATTTTCTTGAAGATTAAAAAAAATTAAATATACAAACAGGAAAATATTGAAGAGAAATTCAAGCATCCATCAACAAAATGCCAGAAAAGGCAATTTATTACTAAGTAGAAATAAATAAATGAATACAATATATATAGAACCAGAAGGGAAAAACAAGAGCCTCTCTAGAATGAATGGAAATTGTGAGCTTATCAATTTCCACAAATTATAAAAGAATAAGCCACCATGAATGCCAAACGCTGGAATCTGTGGACTAGCTTCTGAGATTTCAGCGACAGTTGGAACCAATATTATATAGAAATGAAAAGACATATAGACCTCAGAAAATAGACCTGCTTTGAATCCATTGAGTCCCACCAATCCGCTCCAAGAATTGTAACCATGGTTCAAAGTCTGCACAGACTGCATTACTGAGACAGAAGCTGAATCCCCGCTTCTAAATCCTCTAAGGTGATAGTACACAGTTGATCTGTGTCTATGCAGTCAAAACTGAGCCTAAGATCGAGATTCTCCCGAGCATTAACCAGCATGGGATCCACTAAACCTCCATTCATTTCCTTTCGTTGCTTTTCTGTTGTCTCCTGCTCTATGAGTTTGGCAATTGCATTTATACTGCATGAATCGTGCAATTTGAATCCATACAATAAACTCTCTTCTGATTGATTATTCATCTTGATGTGCAGGATCTTGGCCAGTTCTTCAGAACTGAAGTCGCTAAAATGAAAAAATTTTGTCACCCTTCGGCAGAACCCTTCATTAGAAGCAATTACACGCTTCATTGGCTCACTATATCCAGCAAATATAACTACAATCTTTCCACTGTCCATAACTGACATGATCTCTTCTAATGCTTCTAATCCATAGTCCTTATCATCTGATTTTTGCATGGGAATTAATCGATATGCTTCATCAACAAATAGAATTCCTCCCTCAGCTTCTTTGATCTGCAGATATAAAATTGTCGATTAGTTCATTAGACAAACCATATGACCTCTGCCAAGAATTAGGATAAAGAAAGTCAGAAAGCACAAGAAAAAACCTTTCTCCTAGTCTTCGGTCCCGTATGACCAACAAATTCACCAACCAAATCTGTACGCTGTACTTCAGTTACCCTGTCAGTAGGTAGAATTCCAACCATATAGAGTAATCTTCCGAGTATCCGGGCTACCATAGTCTTACCTGTTGAACGTGACAATCATCTATGAGCCTTTATACTTAACCGAATAGCAAATGCCAAAAACAGTGTAAAAACCATGTTTTACCATAAAATAAAAGAAAGATAACCAGGCGATTACAGATCCAGAAACAACCGGGAAAAAGTTACCTGTTCCAGGATTTCCAAGAAATGCCATATGAGGAGGCCTTCTAGCGCCAACTTTTAGCCCAAGGGCCTTGCGCCTTTCATCCAAGAACATCCCCTTTGCCCATTTTCGAAGTTGAATCTTGAGCTCATGCAACCCCACAATATTTGACAATTCATTTTCAAGCTCATCCATTTTAGCTTTTGTTTCACCACATGCTTCAAGTGCTCTTCTCTTTCTCTGCTCTTCAAGGTGCCAGTGTAATAGTTCACGCAACTTTTCACTGCCAGGGCCTTTCGAGAGATGATTTAAAGGAGTCATGCCCTCCTGCAATTCCCATAGTAAACCAATTGTTACAATTTAAGAAGACCTACTAATTGAAAGTAAAACAGATCCAGTAAAGCAATTGTCAGTACATTGTCCTCAGCACTGCAATCAGCATTGTACTCAAGTAGTGTCTTGACCACTGAGTAGTCATCAGATCGAATTGAGTCCCAAACAGCAAGATGCAATGGTGTCATTCCATTCTGCAAATAATATGGAAAAGGACGAAAACTTTCAGATTAATTCTTAATTTTCCATCCAATATCTAATTACACAATCAACTGACTAGAGAAAATAAAGAGACAAGAAAAAGCACATTAGCTTTGGCTTCAATAAAAGCACCATGAGCAAGAAGTAACCGTGCCGCTTCATTGCACCCATTCTTGGCTGCCATATGCAGTGGAGTTTCTCCATACTGCCAAAGTCAACAGATTGAACCCAAAAGACAATAAGCACTATCTAATTTTTAAAGGAAAACATAGCATGGTTTAAACATGCAAGTGCTTAGCTTAGAACAAAGAGGATAACACAAATTTTTCACCTACCATATTCTTGGCTTCCAACTCAACCTTTTCTGGTCCTTGCCAATCAAGCAAAAGTTTAACCATATCAGCCCTATTATAACCAGCAGAAACATGAAGCGGTGTTTGTGACATCTGCACTTAAACCAAATGAAAGTTAATACATGAATCCAAAAAGGTGTGAACCCACAAAACTATGTTCCCAAGATAGACAACGATATATTTTCAATTCTAATCCCTCCAACTAAGAGAAAACACTAGCAGCAACTAAGTTAGAATTTCAATTCTCTAGCCCGGTTCCATTCCCACTAGATCTACTCCTCCCTCTGTGGGATCTCATCAAAACCTTATCTTGGTGCTGTTTTCTTTCCATAACATTTGCAGCATTATGATATTACAACCCAATCTAATTGAATTCATTTTCTTACTTAACTGATAGACAATGAATCAAAATTTCATCCCTGAAAGAACCCCATTTACATACAAACACGAAACATAAACACCAAATCAGAAAAAAATTATAGAACTTGGATCGAAATATATGAAAAGAAGAGGTTTTTATTCATGGGGATGCATTTCTTGGAAATGGGCGTTGATGCATAAAAGAAAAGAATGGAATCTTACAACGGCATTTCTCTCATTAAGAAGAGAAGGGCTGTCGCGGAGTAGCCTCTGGAAGGCAACAAGATCGCCAGCCTGAGCGCAGCTGTGAATGGTGGTGGGCCTGGCGGATCTTGAACGCTGCATCGTCCTCCGTGAGTATAATTTCTGGGTTTTATCACCGTGGTCGTCTTCTTTCTTTCTCCCGGAGGAGGAAAACAGAAAGAAGAACGGAAAATGGAAATTGGGGAGAGAGAGAATAGAGGGGGAATTTTGTTTTCCTGGGAAGGAGTCAATTGGCGGTCAGAGAACAGAGATTGATTCCCCGCGTCCGACTCTCAGGCTGTCTCTCCTATATTTCCTTTCTTGATTTTATTAATTGCCATTTGCCCCTATCCGCCACTTGCTTAGTTTGTTTTTGGGCAATGCAGGGGGCTTGACTTAAACCACATTTTTGCAAATCCAGGCTGGCGCAATAATTGCCTTGTATGTATGACATCAAAATTACCTGGCAATCGTCGAGGTTTTCGGTGGGTAGATACCAGTTCAGAGTTCGAACTTTAACCCCAATTTAGTTAGATAATGAAAAGTTTTAGAAGGTATTGAATTAAAAATACATAAATGGACGCAGTTGATGTTTCGGGTCACCTTGAAAAGTACAGTTTTTTTTTTTTTTTTTGATTTGAAATTTGAATCCAATGACACTTTGTTTAAAAAAAAATACATAAATGGACAATTTTATTATAATATTTAGGCGTGAAAATATTAAGATGCTCCCAAACTTTGTTGGGTGAGGGAAAAACGTTTCCCAATACTAAATATATGTTAAAGAATAGGTTAAATGTTAAATTTGGTTTCTCAACTTTAGTAAGTTGTACATTTTTGGTCCCTCAACAATTTTTTGCACTTTTTTGATCCCTCAACTATATAAAATGCATTCCATTAGTCCTTCTGTCAATTTGGGCTATTAACTCGACCACGTGACATTTTTTATATTTTTTTTGATGACATGGCAAGCACAACTTAAAAATATGCTAATTTGGACTTTTTTTTTTATGACATGTCATCTTCTTCATACCAAAGCCCCTCCCACATTGCCTGCAAACTGGTCTCTCATCTTCACTCTCTACAAAGTCTTAACCCATTTCTTCGTATTCTCTGAATGCTTTCTCATCTCCACTCCATCTACAAAATCGATCTTAACCCATTTCTTCTTCTTCTTTGAATGCTTTCTCATCTCCACTCCATCTACAAAA